CGGGGAAAAGGCGGGCCTGGCGTCGCCGCCGGCGGGTTTTTCTTTTGGTGGCGAGCGGGCGGGTGGATTGTCGTAAGGTATTTTTGCCCGACGACCTCCTCACCCTCAGGGGTTTTCGGCCCTTTTTTTTTGTCTCTGTGAAATTTTTTTTCTTCTTCTTTTTGGTCACCCGTTTGATGTTACAGAAGTGATGAGCCACACCGAAGAGCTAACCACCCGCTTATCTGCAGGGACTGAGTTTGTGATTGTGGTGCCGTACGAAACGAAGCGATGCTCCGCAACTCTTAAAATCGTCTCGGTAGGCGGTGGTGTGGACCCCCGAGTTGACGTACTTGGCGCTCCTGTTGTAGTGGATGTTTCGTACAATTTGATTCCTGGTATGGAGTTTTCCATCTTTGCATGGACTAATGCGACCGTTCGAATCGAGGGATCAAAGCAGCTTCTTCTTAATTGTTACCGCCCCACAACACCTCCTTTTGTTAGGCCACTTGTCGAATATCATTGTATAATCCACGATGCTCGCGTTTTGGCCGACAAGAAGGCATTGTTTGGTCCTTTGGTTCTTATTTGCGGAACAAATGACGCTGAAAAACATGTCATTGGAAGGACGCTTTGCAGCTACGCTGCACGAACCGGGTGGTCCCCTCAATTAGTAGATTTGGATTGTGGTGTGGGGCAAATGCTTGGACCGCCAGGAACCGTTTGTGCTGGTGTTATTGAGTACCCAATGACGCTGGACGAGGACACCACGATAGGTCCCACCTCTGTTTCTTTTTTTACAGGGTCAACAGCACCACAGGTTAAATCTTCTTCTGGTGAATGGAATATGTACGCTCCGTATGTACATTATAGCCATTTGATGATGTCATGTGCGAGCAATCGAATAGCCAGGCATACAGGCAGAGTGAGCGGCTCTAGTGGTGCAGTTATTATATTACCAGATTTAAAGGGTGTCAGTGGTCTTTTATTTGTAGAAGATCTCCTCCGACGCTTTAACATTTCGCACATATTGTGTATTGGTGATGATTTCCTTTTCTGTGGGCTCCACAATCGAATTAGCAATATGCAGGAATCAGCAGGTTCTCGTACTGTGGCCAGTACCCGCATCGATAAGTTATCCAAGTCGTTCATTTACTCTCCGTTAGATTCAGGATCGGAACGGATAGCATCCAGATTGGAGCGGTATTTTTTTGGTGGTGGTGCTATTGATCTACAACCATCCGAAATAAACAAACGGTATTCGAGTATTGAGATTCTGGCCCTGAAGGATACCAATGGTCAAGCTGTTGTTTCAAACGTTGAGCAGGATGCTTTGGAGGGAATTGTAGGATGTGTAGGTGCGTTGTTTGAGTCTTCTACAAAACGTGATAGAGATATTCTGTCACTCTCTCCGTTTGCGTTTGCTAGGGTGCAAGGAGTTGATGCTCAGGGTGTCAGCATTCTTGTGAGCACACATTCCGCTATTCCCGAGACGTTGGTAATGATCATTGGTTCCTACTGCTGGGTAACGAGTTAACTGAGATGTGGTTGAGTAAATCAAATTGCTCTCTCCGCCGGACTCGGTGGGACGCTGCTGAGGTGCAATAACCCCCAACAGCAAAAAAAAAAGATTTATGCTTTTCGTAAAAGACGATAAAAAACTTTCCCACCCCACGTTTTGATTTCTGATAGGTAGTATGATGACTTCGAGAGGCGAAGTTCTGAAACTGAGCAGTGTTCGCGAAACAACAAAAGTTGAACTTTCATTACTTTTTGATCGTCTTGACGCTGGCGCACAGGCTACGAAGGTTGTGTACGTGTCTCCACATCTTCTATCGGCATTTGATACCATTGGTGTGACAAAGGAGCTGCTCACAAAAGAACGTGGTGTTGTTGGTGTGTTTCCATTTGGGAACGAGGACGGGCTTGTATCTGCGCAGCATGCTCTGTTTTTTGTGAACCCAGATGTGGAGATGCTTCGATCGCTAGTGGTCAATCTCTTGGCGTACACTCAAAAACACACTAAGGCCTTACTGCATGTTTTCTTTGTTCCGCGGAAACCCCTTTTGGTTGAACATGTCCTTAACAGTGAATTCCAACTTCTACGCTCTCTGCCTGGACTTCAACTTGGGGAATTTGATTTTGATTTGGCACCGTTGGATGATGATTTGCTTTCGATGCAACTGCCATTGGCTTTTAAACACTTGGTTGCCGATGGGGATATTACAATGCTTCACTGTGTTGCGAGAATGCTGCTGAAGCTGCAGACGTCGCGCTTTGGAGCAATACCTCTTATCAGAGGTAAGGGGACGAGGGCGGCCAAGGTGGTGCAGATGCTCGGTAGAATGCAAAATGAAGTGGGATCTGAATTCCTGACAGGCCTAACACCCGAAATTGATTCTCTATTCATTCTTGATCGTACGTTGGATCTGGTTACTCCACTTGCATCCCAGCTAACGTACGAGGGTCTTATCGATGAATTTTACTCTATAGACTGTGGTCAGGCGACGTTTCCGTTTAATTTGGGTGAGGGTTCCAAGATGGATGCGGCCCAGCGAATCTTACTGAATAACAACGATCGTATCTTCAGTGAGATTCGTGACAAAAACTTCACAAACGTCGCCTCTGTTCTCTATAATAAATCTGTGCTGATAAAGCAGAGTTACGAGCGGCGAAAAGAAGTCCAACAGCTCAAAGAACTCAAGGAGTTCATGAAGGGTTTGCCTGAAATGCAGGAAATGCATCGCTTAATCGGTGTTCATACTACTATAGCGACAGAGATTGGGAAACGAACACAGAGCATGGATTTTCGGCGGCGTATTTCCATAGAACAAAGTATCATACAGCATGGGAATGATCGTGAGATCGTTGAATACATCGAAGAGTTGATTGACAAGAGTGCACCCATCACGGATGTTCTTCGACTTCTTTCTATGTACTCACTGGTGAACGGTGGCCTTAAGAACAAAACATATGATTTCTTCAAGGAGAATCTCATGTTGTCATATGGTATCCCTCAGGTCATAGCCGCTCTTTTCTCTCTTGAGCGTTGTGGCTTGATTACAAGGTACGAGGCCAAACAGGCAAATTTTTCAGCTCTACGCAAGCAGTTCAAGCTGTGGAATGATACATTGGAGGAGCAGCAACCAAATGACATTGCATATGCCTACAGCGGGTATGCGCCACTGTTAGTACGTCTATTTGAGGCTATGATTACGCATCCAGAGTCCTGGGGCACGCCAGGGGATGTGATCGACTTGGTTCCAGGAGAGAAGGCTGAAATACGCAATGACGTGGAAGTGCCTGGAGGTCCCCCAATAACAATGATCTTTGTTATAGGTGGAATTACACATGCTGAAATAAGTGCATTGCGTTTTGTGTCATCGAAATTGACTAATGCGGGACAACCAAGGCATATCGTGATAGTATCAACAAACGTCACCAATGGCACTCAAATGATAGATTCCCTGCTGCCTTTTTCAACAGAATGCTGATGGCTTATGCGTTGCTTTTTTCTTCTCGTTACTCCCCCCATGTTTTCCCTGAATGTGAATGTCTGCAGGTAGATGCAGAATTTACCACAAATGCTTTAAGTTGAGGCTTTCTTTTTTTTTTT